ATCCCCATAGATCCTACATTTATTCATTAATATTTTATTTTTTTAAAATGTTTATATTTTCTATAAAAATAAAAAGCACAAAGAATTCACATATTTATTATGTTATTAAAAAATACTAGTATTTGACATTTCTCTCTCTTAATAAATACATGAATATTTATTTATTTATTTTTATAAATAAACATAAAGGAAATGACTAAAAAACCTAATCTAAAATATATATATTAAATTAACTATATTAAAATAATAGGCGGGGCGGGGTCCCCGCGGGGCGGGGGGTGTATTCCCCGTCCCCGTCCCCGAAATGCTCTCGGGGGAATTTTTCTCCCCATCCCCGCCCCCACGGGGGAAAATTCCCCATCTTTGGGGCCCCGAACGGGGCGTTCCCCACGGGGATCCCCATTAACAGGTCCAAACTGACATCCCTATCACATTCCACGCCAACAAAATTACTTCCCACAAAAGTATTATAAGCCTCAAACCTATCCAAGTCCCACCTAGAAATTATCCTGTTGGAATGGCCTACTACAAGCTTTACTTGTCATTGCCTCACTTATATCGGACATCTTATATACTCTTGTATAAAGTTATTAAATTTTAAAAAGAATTTTTATCGAAAATTTTAAAACAATATCAAATTTTTTGAAAAAACACCAAAAAATTTCAAAATTTTCGACAAAAAAACATAATTTTAATGAGTTTTTACCGAAATTTTCAAAACTATACCGAAAATTTCAAAATTTCCGATATAAACTCATGAAATTTTTACAAGCAATTTCGAAAATTATGGTTTTTATTGGAAATTTTGAAATTTCCAATAAAAATTCTTGAAATGGTATACCGACAATTTCGAAATGTGTGCATTTTTACCGGAAATTCTGAAATTTCCAATAAAAACTTATGTATTTTTTACCAAATTTTTTGAAATGTATGTTTTCGGAAATTTTGAATGAACTATCAAAAAATTTGTTATAAAAAATTTTAAATAAATTACCGAAAATTTGGTTCGGACTTTTTAACTCAAATTTGTCCATGGACTAAGAATTATCAAAATTGTTAAAATTGATGCACATTTCTAGAACAGTCTAGTAAAAATAAATGACAATGTTTAGAGAAAACTAGAACAGTCTAAAGTTTCTACATGTTTCTAGATTGTTCCAATCATTTTTAGATTAACTTATATCCTAGAAAGTTCTATGTCAATGTAATGTAGAAAAGACAAACAAAAGCCTAGATAGTTATATTCTAGAAACATCTTCAATCACCTATAAATAGACAAGCATATATGTAATTGTATTCAAACCTTTAATCCTTTAAGGTCCAATATCAATAACATAAAAGGCTTCAACATAATATTACTCTCTTCCTACAATAAGTTGATTACTTATGTGTTTCCTCTTGTTTCGTATTACTAAATACTCCAATACTAACTCTCACACTACTTGCTACTATCTTTCAACTATCAACCATAGTTTTTTACATTATCCAACTACATTCTACACTATAACTATTACCTCCTCAATCACCTATAAATAGACAAACATATGTGTAATTGTATTCAAGCCTTTAAGCCTTTAAGGTCCAATGCCAATAACATCGGAGACTTCATAATACTATTATTATTCTCCTACAATAAGTTGATTACTTATGTGTTGCCTCTTGTTTCGTGTTACTAAATGCTCCAATACTAGCCTTCACACTACTTGCTACTATCTTTCAACTATATACCAGAGCTTTTTACACTACCCATCTACATTCTAAACTATCATTTCTACCACAAATACTAACAGTGGTATCAGAGTTACGTTCGATCATTCACTAGGCGTAGCAAACTATTTCTTCTTATCACCAACTATTTTATTAAAACTAAAAAATGAGGTCTCTAACTCAAATGTACACAAAGGAGTATAGGTAAGCCAACGGTCCGACTCTGTCTGAGTTCAAACCCAAAACTAAAAATGAGAGAGAGGGGTTCAGGTAACCTAACAATCTTCTCTTCTAAATTTCAAGTCAAACTAATGTCGCAAACCTATGGCAAATAAGGCTCGAGTTCTAATAGAGCACAAGCGCATGCGATACAAAAAATTAAGACATGTGACCTCTGAGGCGCAACTTGAGTACAAGCTTAGAAAGACAAATCCAACTACTAGAGCAAGAATGAGTCCCTATCAAAATTCTTCTACAAGAACGACAAGGAGTCTCATAAGAAACTAAGAAGCAAGAGTGAACCCTGTCAGAAATATTAAATATGATCGACAAGGAGATTTACATGCAAGTAGACAACAAAAGTGGTCCTTGTTAGAAGTCTTTAATAGACTAACAAGAAAGATCACAAGCGCAGCCAAGGAGCGAAAATGATTCTTGACAAAAGCCTTAAACATTGTGACAAGTAGTGTGATAAAATTGAATCACGGTGGAGAGTAAGAGGTGAGAGTTTCACAAATTTACATTTGAACAACTATGGACTACACCTAAAATTACTGAAATATGCATCAAGGAGGAGTGTTGAAATTGATGCACATTTCTAGAACATTCTAGTAAAAATAAATGACAATGTTTAGAGAAAACTAGAATAATCTAAAGTTTCTACATGTTTCTAGATTGTTCAAATAATTCTTAGATTAACTTATAGCCTAGAAAGTTCTATGTCAATGTAATGTAAAAAAGACAAACAAAATCCTAAATAGTTCTATTCTAGAAACATCCTCAATCACCTATAAATAGACAAACATATGTGTAATTGTATTCAAGCCTTTAAGGTCCAATGCCAATAACATTGGAGGCTTCATAATACTATTATTATCCTCCTACAATAAGTTGATTACTTATGTGTTGCCTCTTGTTCCGTGTTACTAAATGATCCAATACTAACTCTCACACTACCTGCTACTATCTTTCAACTATATACAAGAGTTTTTTACACCATCCAGGTTCGCGTTCAACTTAGAGGATATGCAAGCTTGAATGCGAACCTAATATCTTTGGATCCCCGTAACCTTTCACAAGAAGCCATTATAATGAATTCCATTTTCGATTCTTAAATGCACATCATCACTGGTTTATTCTTTGTAATAATTTATTGTTTTATAAGTCAGTCATAAGTTGGTTATTGCTCTTGCAAAGAATCTAGTATCTCATGATCGTGGGTAGGGGTGTGCAAAAAAACTGGTTACTGATAACCAAATTCATATCCAAATTGTTTCATTTATTAAAATCCAATCCAAATATTAAATATTGGATTTGGTGGTCCATTTATGGTCAAAGTGGTAAACCGGTACCCATAAAACGGTTATTGGGTATCCAAATTTCTTTCTCATCAAATTTTTCTGCTTTTCAATTTTCACACTTTCTCAAGAAAATAAGCTCTACACATTTTCATAAAAATTGAATGATGTTTAACACTTTATTTCAAATGACTAATTATTAAATAAATATAAAAATGTTTAATTATAGTTAAAAAATATGCAAACACTTTCAAATAAATTGAAAGATATAGTATACTAAATATTTAAAAAGCAAAATATATTATTATCACTGTAGAAGACAAATTTAAATTTGAAAGAAATTTGTTTGAACTTGATCTCTTTTCATTCAATATACATATACTTTATATAAGAAAACGAATATGCACAGTGAATTAATTAATACTATCTCAGTATTAATTGATTTTTCTTTTAGGATTGATAAAACAAAAAGGATCATTTAAATATAAAAAGATTTTAAAAAATGTTTTGTGACCGTGAGAACGACTGCGACAAAATGTTTTGGACATATATCGATATCGATATTGTTATATCCGTTTTATATTAAAAAACAAATTATAATTAATAATTTACACTGCAACGAACACAATTAATGTCGTAACACCTCTATTGATCGAAATTACAAAAATTGTAACACGACCGTGACAATTTTTTAAAATCTGCTTAAAATTAAATTAAGGATGTGCTTTATTAATGTTTAAAAAAATTAGTACTGAATTAATTTTAAAATTTTATTAATTAAAATGAATTGAATATAGATTAAATTATATTTAAATAATTTAGATTAAAATTAAAACTGATTTCAAACCGGTTTTAATCCGGTTTGAAACCAATTATGTTTTTTAAATTAGTTTTTGTGATTAATGGTTTAGTTTGTAAATCATAACCATAAAAGTGGATTGGATCACAATATATGGTAACCATACACACCCCTAATCGTGGGAAGCATATTGATACCCGTTGTCACTTTATACTTTATAGGAATGTTTTAGCAAGAAAGAGTGTACAACCAGAAAAGTATGTAAAATCTCAACATCAAACTACTCACATCTTCCCCCAAGACATTCAAACATGAAAAATGGCAGAATGTTACTGCAGAAAATAAAGATCTGAAATCGATTTTATTCTATATTGATCCAATGATCCAAAACTAAGGGAGAAGAAAACATGAGATAGCTTTCCAAAATAAATACAATTAATATCTCTTTTGATTTTATATCAGTTACATCTGTATACATGTTACTTTTTCACTATTTCTTGTGTTTACCAAATACACAAAATAGCAAAATAAGTAAATAAAGCAACAATGATATACAAACTAAATTTGATGTCCAACAATGGTACTTTCAACACCAAAAGGATGAAGTCTAAACCTGTCTGTAAGCGATTACCTAGCGTTTTATGCAACAAGACTTCAGAACCGCCTCGATGAAATTTCAAAACATACGAAACAGTTTCTCCATTTCAAGAACAAATTTACAGTATTGTCAGATGACGGCTAGATCAATGATGATTTATATCTTTCTTAACTGCAGATACTGCTTCCGGTAGGATATTTCTTAGTACATTCATATATGTATGTACTCCCTATATGATGATTATGAACAACATGGCGTAATCAATATCATACAGAACGTATGAATCGGAGACTGAAGGCAGAAGCTTCTTCCCTCTAATCCAACGCAGTGTCAATGATGGAATCTTAATAAATACCTGTGGTGGTGGAACTTTGTTCCTTCACCTTATGATTCTACATCTCCTTATAAACTTATTAGAGGAATTTACATATCTACTCCACAAACTTCTATATTCTGGGAAACCAATTTCAAGCCATGGTTTTGCAGGACCACTGAAATGGATAACAGAAGCAGCTTCTAGACTCTCTTTGCTAATTTCTTCTGATCTATAACGATAACCTAAATCAGTCACAATCATTGATGGATCTATTGGATGCACTTGACCATCAAATGCAATCAATGCAGGTGGAAGCACTCCTGGATTCCACAATGCTGTCTCTGATTCGAGGTTCTGTGAAATCAGATAAATACACACTGTTAAAATATGATGGCAATTAATAGTGAATACAACAGTACCATCACACATTTTATAGCAGGATGTAGAGGTTAATTTAGTTAAGCACATTACATATACTTACGAGTTTCAACCATTTCCGGTAGGTCTCCGTTATGTTTGTTCTTCGCCAAGCATCAAGATCAAAGACATTCATGCCGTAAAGCCATCCACACTGTTCATCATCAAAATTAGATGATATGAGAGGATGTGAAAAGTTCAAGTAGTTTGTGTATTTACTTCCAGGGCAGCAGTAGTCTTCACACCATGACTTGAATACAGAACCACTGACTTTACCATTAAGATCTAAGTCCCATAAAGAAGATATGTCACGTTGTACTACAACATCATCATCCAAGAATACTATCTTTCTAAGATCCGGAAAAAGCTGTTATGGTCCACAAAAAATCATATCATCATGAAACAATCGTTACCATTTACCAAGCATTCAGACTTTTGATTAGGTGTTATTGCTCAAACAGATAGCTGTCAAAAATAACTAATTACCTCAGGGATATAAATGCGAAGTTGATTCATCAAGGAAAGGCTGCTGGGCCGTAAAGCGTTCAAATTATTATAATTGATGTTCTTTACTTTATCGTAGTAGTGCTTCCAAATTAAGTGATTCGTTTCCAGCATTTCTTTAACACCAGCATTCATTTCTTCAGACCAATCATATTGGTGTAATCCCTTAACTTCCACAATAGCTGACTGAATAGAATTGGTAGCAAACCAAGCATGCATTGAGGCGTAAGTCTTTTTGTCGGTAACAATATGAAAAACTAATTTTTCAGGGTTGACTGAATTTTTAACTGTAGAAGTTACAACAACAGAGGCAGCAAGGACATTATCGGTTAGGAGAACTAGATGATGCAGATAAGGGTCAGCAAGGCGAGAAGCAAATTCGGGAGGAGGTAGGCTAGATCGAGCGATGGCATTTACAGCATATTCTTCAGCCAACTTTAGACAAAGACAATGTAGACTTTGAGGAACACCGTGTGAAGCTAGATGCCAGTAAACTGACTCCTGCTGCTTTGCTCTTTGCACCTTGTGCTCCATCTGTAATAACTGAATATTTACAAAAGAAATGTCATGATTTGTTAGAGGACTAAAGATTCACAAAATTTGTTTGATGAATGGAATATTCGTAGCTGACAAGAACCTAAGCATAATTGGCAAACTGGTCAGCAAACCAACAGATTTACAGACTTTGATTATGATGGAAATCTCAGTCACATCCCGCGTCATGCTCTTACTAAAATTAATGGAATGCATATACACCCTCAAATTGTTCAACATAGCTTACAATTAACCTCATGTTTGTGGTTTGATAAGTAAAAGATAATCAGTTTAATTGCATTGGATTCTCTTGATTTTCACTTCTGAAATATGCATACTGACCCAATCCAAGCAATATCGATGTCGGGATAAGCATTTAGTCCTACTTATTGGTCAACACCAGAAAGAAACTAATAAGGATTAAAATGGAAAACAATAGTAGCTACCAAAATTAAATTTTTTATATACCATGGCTTTGGTCCTGAAAGCAAAAGCTTTGAGGTCTTGTTTTAAGACCATCTCTTTAACAAGTTCGTTGAATGACCCAACTCCTTCATTATCATCAACACTTCCATCATTTGCTTCCATTAGGGCTCTGGTCAGCTCATCTCTGAGTTTCTTCATGCATCCGTAAAAAATACAGGACATAAGTTATCTTTTTTAAATTAAAATATACAAGATGAATGATTCATATCCTCCTAATATTATTAATTTGTATTTGATTTCACTGTGGAAACTATAATAGTTGATTTTGTTCATATTCACAGTAATTTTATAGAAACTCCAAAAATACAGCTTTTTGTCAAATTCCCAGTAATCATATTCTATCAAACTCATCATCACATTCAAAATTATTAAAGTTAATTTAACAAGTCATATAAAAACCGTATTAATTGGATGATGTCATAGAATAGAATGGATCAATGAAGCGCGGACACCTATAGGAGTAGGCGTGCCGCGGTGTCCGGCACACGTCAGGTCCGACACACATTAGTGTAGGACACATGTTAGTGTCCGGCACTTATATATCACCGAACAAGTCAAAAAAGTGTCCTCAAATAAATGGTTTTTTTTCTTTGCTTCTACATTTTTTGAACAGTGTCTGACACCCGTATATTACACTCATACACTGCATGTTAGACAATTCAAAAGAAAGTAAAAAAAAACTGTTTTTCTCAGTGCTCCAAGACACCTTATACATTTCTTGTACAAATGGTCCGTATTGGAGTCCGTGATTCATGGGAATGGATACAAATGGTCCCATTAGAACAAAGAAAGGTCATAAAGACCTTTTGAAGGAGAGAAATAAAGTTTTGATAATAGCACATACAGAAAAAGTAGAGGTAGAGGATAAAACAAATTGAAGTACAAATGGCATGCATGGCCATGCCCCACAGATTCCAGTAAAGCAACTTGTACAAGTTACAACAATGCATTACCAAGCTCACAGAAGTATAAGTAATGCACTATTTGAACAAAGAAAAAGAAATTATAATGTAATATTTGTCAATTTTGAGGTCGTCTTTCAGGGTGTGCAAAGCAGCCTACAACACACGACTTCACACATTTTTATGATTAAGTTATGACAAAAAGGATCTCCATACACAAATTCAACTATTAGTTTCCAGTTAAATAGAACCTCTTAAAATGATTCACGATTCAACTAAAATTAGCTTCAACTTCTTACACAGAACGTCTCGGACTTTGGTCATTTTAGATCCTACTTAGTACTTTAATTGTAAATATTACACAATCCTTCTATGATGTCTGTCTAAACAGATAACCACCCTTATAAGGATTGTGTAAGCTAGTCAATAGTTTTTATGTCCTTTTAGCTGAAATAGATTACCACACAAGATTAATCTAAGAAAGAAGGATATGTCACGTGAACAACAAATGTGGGATGCACCAAAAAAATAAAACACATGGTACGTTTAGGATAATGGGGACAGGTTTATCTGAATACACATTTTGTAACTTTTCCTATGTCTTTTACTCTTTTTAACTTTGAGGCATTAATAACCGATTCAGTAGGGTCTGATAAACGACAATAACCACATGAACTGGTTATTTCAAAAGAAAAGCTGGAATACACAATACATACACTAGTTGTTCTAAAAATATGAGTGTAATATACGGGTGTCAGACACTGTTCAAGCTGGAATGACCACACTCAATTACTTTTTTTTGGTAAGACTTGACTACATTTGACTTCTTCTAAAAATATTTTACATATTATCAATAAATTAAAATAAAATTTTAATATTTAAATTATTGAAATGTGTTATTTCAATTATAATTTTTTTATTATAAATAATTGATTGCAATTAACTAGAATGTAAAACATTTTAGAGTTTAATAAATATACAAATAGTTTTATCTTTTCGTCCAATAAAAAACTAACATTATATCATGTCATTCAAGTAACTTTAAAATATATTTCAATAGCTTGTAGAATGAATACACATTTTCCATTAGATTTAAAGTGTAAAATGTCTTCTATTTTTTAAGACTCTCTTGAATTTTTTCTTCTTATTCCTTTTTGTATGACTCTCTTCAATTTTCATATCCTTTTTTCTTATCCTTTTTCTACAATCTATAATAAATATTTTTGTTTAAACATTCATTATTTCTCTCTTCTAAAGATAAACTTGTAAAATTATACAATAGTAAATAAATTTAATATTTTAATCAATATTTTTAATTAACGTAATTTAGTCTACGAAATCTTATATTTAAAGACAGAGGTAGAGATAGTATCATTTTACATTGTGGTTAATGGTTATATAAAAAATTAAACCCATTTATATTTAGTATAACATTAACTAACCTTAATTATTTATACTACTATATAGGGAAATTTTATTTCACTTAATACTTAATAATAAACGGTGTTTAAGAAGTGTTAGACCATAAAAATAAAAAAAAACTAAAATAATAGACTTAGTTTAATTAAACAGTATAATTAGATGAGATGAGATAAGATTTAAAATGATTAGGGTGTTTATATTTTGTGTTACATTAAATGTGATCAAATTTAATATTCAAATGAATTAATAATTTTTAGTTTAGATTGAATGTTCAAGTAACACTTTAAAAACTGAAACCAAACTAAGAACCAACTACCTTTTTATTCAATTCATTCCGCATACTATAGAAATCATATTAATAGGAGAAGGTCTATGGATCATCAAATCAAAATATCAAACAATATAATTTAATAATTATAATAAAAATATTTACTTTAGTAATAATTATCTTAAAAAAACATAAGTTATTATAATTATAATTGAATTATCATATAACAATTTGAACTAACAAGACATCAAAACCTTGTAGAAATTATAAAAGACAATATACATTGAGTGGTTTCCAAACCCAAAACGTTGACAAATTAGTAATAATTGTCGGTTTAATAAAGTATTAGTAGTACTATATATCAAATCAAACCGCCTAAGAAAAATTAGACTTTGCGACTAACAATCATCACAATTAAAATAATTCTAATACAGTAATATACTACTATATATTATTTCTTGTCGGTTTTCACTAGTTGCACTTTGTTAACAAATCAGGTAGTAACATTTTTCAAACTAGACTCTATTTAAACTATAACTTTATTTGAAAAAAAAGGAACCTAGCTTTTTAGATTAGACAGGGAATAGAGAATATTGCTTAAAATTAATTAATTAAGAATCTGAATTTTAATAATTTCTTACTATAATCATTACTCTATTGCTTAACCTAAATCGAGTTAATCCATTAACATAGAATCCGCCAAAATTTTGATAAAAAATGGACAATAAAGTACGTGTAACCAAAAATAAATAATAAATAAAATAGTTGTTGAAAATAGAATAAGAAGGTTAATTTCGTAATTAACACACTTACCAATGACGTGTCAGCTCCACTGAAAAACCTCCACCCAGCACACTCTGCAACAATCATTTTCACCATTGTAACAAACTAACATCAACTTTTTATTAAAGGAAATTACCTACTCCTATTTCATTTATTCCGTTAAAACCTTTTTTTTCTTTAGTTTTTTAATGAAAAAATATATTTAAATTTCCATAAGTCAATAAATATAACTTTCACTTAATTAACTTAAAAATTGTTGATATTTAGATAATTCCGCAGAAATATCAGATGCAATTGATCGTTTGAAGCATTACTTAACAAAAAAATTTAAAAATCAAAGAATATTGAATCTAAATTCAGAAAATTATAGAAACTAAATGCAGTTGAAGAGTTATATTAAAATTAGTTAAATTAATGAAATCATTATGAAAATGCAATAAAAATTTAAGAAATAAATTTACTTCAAAAATATTGAATTACTGAACTGTAAAAGAGAACTGTAGTGAAATTACCCAATGATGAACAGAAAGTAGCAGATTCCAGCACCAAGATCGCGACTCTAACAAAGATAAACGGTAGAACGAGTCCGAGAACTAACACCACCGGAAGCACCGTCCGGAGTGAAATCCGGCGACTGGAAGAGGTAGTTACAGTGGGAACCCCTGCCGCCGTCGCCGATGTATCCTTAGCCGATCCCTTACCTCCGCCGTTCGATATCGTGAATCTCTTAATTCCCTTTGCAGATATATAAAACTTCATAGCCTTGATTCCATGAACTAATCTCTCTCTCTCTGTGCAAATTTTTCTTGAAGAAATAGAATCAAAACGAGATCTGAAGGTTCATTGCTTCAACGATTCTTCGGTGAAGAAAGAGAGAAGTGTTTGTTTAAGTGTGAAAGAGAGTGAACGAAAATGAATTTGTAGCTGAATAAAAAAAGTCTTCACGGATTTCTTTTTTGTTACTTTTCACTGTGAAAATAATATTCTTAAAAAATGAAAGAGAGAATAAGAGAGTTGAAATTTATAAATTTATACTTAAACCAACCAGCTCAATTAGAATAATCGTGAAGGGACATCATATACATAACTTACTTATATTTGTACAAGAACATTAAATGTATCAGCTCACTTATAATTTTATAGAGATTTCAAATATTGAGAAACGAGTTCTAATGACATTTTATTTATTCGTCTTTATAATGTGAATTGTAAAAGATCATATTTTTTATAAAAAAATTCTGATAAATATTTATTTTTGATAGAAAATAAATTAAATAAAAATGTCTTGTTGTACCGAAAGTGTTGAAGGGAAGCCGCTTTTAATGCCGCGGGAGATTATTAGATTGCAAAGCGACACGCTGGCTTGATGATTATAAAAGAGTGTATTTTGCACTTGATTGTATTTGATTTTGCCACTGGTTTTTGAAGTTATTTACGGTTTTGACATTGACGGTTTGTTTGTACTATTTGCACTTGCCGACACTCTCTGTGACGACTGTAGGTGGGCCCGGGTTTGACGTTTTATGTCCTGAGGTTGTTCTTTTTTGGAATCTAATTCAAATTTTTTTTTTAAAACTAGAAGGATAAATTAGAAGGTAATGTATTTTACATAAGCCATGCAATAAAATTTGAATTAGAAAATATTATAAAGCTTTTTAAAAAATGTGAGATTTTGTTGAAAGTAAAACTTTCATTTTCAGTAAATGAATTTAAATTATATTCTAATGAATTCTTAATTGATAGATTTATTGATTTAAATTTTTGTGATCATTCGACTAATTTATAATTTTTTTAATTTCAATTAATTGACAAAAAAGCATAAATAAGAAATGTGTGGTAAATATTAAAAACTGATCTAACCTGATCAGACTTGGACCGTCACGGCTGGCTCCGAGCTGAAGTTTTGAACGAGGTGGGGGATACCTGCAAGGCACTCCGATGCTGAAGTAAGTAAGAGTACGAGCAGGCAAAGTGGGAGTATATGTGATAGAATGAATATCTGACCCTCTGGAAACAGAGGGTATTTATAGCCCCCAGCGCTGGGCCAAGGTTCCTTCACTGGGCCGGGCAGGTTTGGCCCAATGGAGGAACTGTCAGGTTCTACGTGCGTAGTGGGGACCCGCACGTGGTCCCCTTCCTGGATGTCCTGCGTGAAGTGCGGGCGGACAAGGACGCGGTCTTTTCGGGGTCCCGTTGAGAGTGTAGTGGATCGTGTCTGCCGTTGGAGGAGTACTCGAGCTGAGGTCGAGCTGGATAACACGAGGTCGAGGATGTCGCCCCAGAGAAGTATGTCGGGCACAGCTGTGGTCCTTAGGTCGGCAATATTACAACTTGAGTAGATTTATTTAGAACGACATGACTAATTTAGTACATGAATATAATGAAGAACAACATGACCAATTTAGTACATGTATATAATGACTATATCTAACCTCAACAATAGAAATTTTAGCTACGCTTACACATGGTTAGCGTAACAACTGATATTTCCAAAGAAGTTGACTTCGGAAATAGGATCTTCTCTATCACCTGAGCAGCGGTTTTCGCATTTTAACTTCTTTTTTTATCCTCCTGTTATAGAATAGAGGGAACTTATTCCAATTATGTACTCCTTCGATCCACTGAAGCTCCCTTTTGTAATGAATTGAAAACTTTTATTTATAGGCAAAATTCTAAGGCTCTCGTTAAGTGCAGAGTCTTTGCGCTTAGCACGCCTACCCTTCTCTAACCACTATGACCATCCTGTTTTCTTCTTCAAAAAGCAATGCTTGCATGTCTTCCACGTGTCCTTGGTCGCTTTTGTTAGCCTAACACATCACCTCTTCGACTAGCGTGATAACCTTTACTTTACCATGAAGTACTTGCATCTGGTGCTTTCACATAGCCATACTTTGCACCTAATGCGCCTGTAGATGGGGCCTAGAGAGCCTTACTTCTTCAGGGTTCAATTTTTCCCTATTTTCTTCTTGTTGATTCATGGTTTTATTGATCTTTTAAATCATTTTTGATAAGTGTGTGCAAGAAAAGCCTAACATGTGTTTCTTTACTATTTATAGATAAATAGAATGTTGGAACAAAATCAGTTCACACTAATTGAGTGCATACTCCATGAATTTCGATGATAACAAAAGTACTTAAAGATTAATAGGGTATACTAATGTTTGATTAAATGTGCAGGATCATTAAGCTTATATTTAACTTGGTTCTGACCTAGTTAAAGAGCTTGTAAAGAAGAAGCAAGTGAAACCAGATTCTACTAGATCAGAATCTATGTTTCAAGCAAGACCTCGGCGCCATATTGAAGCTTCTGATATTTGAGTATAAACTCATGAATTTGTCTCTGATGATTCCAATGGAACTAGATGCCTTGCTAGAAGCATAGTACAAATCTCTTTTGTCCGTACTCAGTGCAAAAGCAATTACATCTTGTCAATGGCTTGAATTATGGAGGAAGTCAACTAGAAGTTTTAGCACAAGGCTCAAGGCAAACTGATATGATTTCTTCCTTCTACTACTCCATTCCTATGAAGGCCTTACTTGAGAAAGACATAATGGATAATGAAATTATTCAGAAGATGAAGATCCTCATCGTACCAACTCCAAAGTCTCTCTCTTGGAAATAGCTTCTTCAGCAAAGACACTTGTGCAAGCAAGCTTCCAACATCTCTTTTGTTCCCTATATATAAAGCAGTTAAATATTCAAAAAGAAGTAACAAGAATAATACAACAAGAACAACAACAGAAAATCAAAAATTGCAAGAACGGTTTCACTCTCCACATTAAAGCTTATAGTTGTTGTATTACACATAGACTTGAGAATATTCTTATACTTGTATATCCTAGAAATCTAAAGTATCAAGTTCTTTGTGTGTAATGTATTATATGTAACTCTGATTGCATATCAAGTACATCTTGTTGTAATCTAAACATTTTGTTTAGAATTCAAAAAAGTCTCGTTGTAGTTTGATTGAGCAAGAAAGTCTTGAACAATTGGTTTGGACAAGGAAGTCTATTTCTAGTTTAATTTAGCATGGAAGTCATGTACAATTGGTTTAGCTAAGAAAGTCTCTTTCTAGTTTGGTTTATCAACGAAGTCCAAGACAGTTGGATTGGGCAAGAAGACTCCTTCTAGTGAGATTGAGCAGGAAGTCTTGGATTTGTGTGTCTAAGAAAATTGTAATCATCTACTGATTATAGTGAAAATCTCTTATGTGGCAAGGGGACTAGAATAATCTCATTATAGAGGAACCAATATAGGTTTTGTGTGTGATTTACTTATAGTTTCTACACTTTAAATATTCCGCTACTACATACTCAAGCTTAGAATATGAACTTGATCAGATTCAAAAGCTGCTATTTGAAAAAGCTTAAGTTATCAGTTACATAATCCAACCCTCTTTCTTGTGTATTTTCTCACCTTCAATTGGCATTAGAGCTCGGTCTCTGCTTAACACTTAATAGTGGTACAGAAAAAGATCTTGAGGAGAAAAGTATACTAAGATGGGTGATATCAGTGATAGTAATGTTACAAGCACTAGTATGCCACATGATTATAATGCTCATGAGAAGAGTCACTATTATGCAAAACCACCTGCATTCAGTGGTGATTCTACCCACTTTGAATGGTGGAAGAGCAAAATATACACTTACATCATTCGCCTTAATGATGAGCTTTGGGACATTATTGAGGATGACATTGAGATTGAAGTCTTGTACTGGACTAATCTTTCTAGTGAGATTGACCAGGAAGTCTCGAAGTGGTGTGTATAAGAAAATTGTAATCATCTATTGATTATAGTGAAAAGCTCTTGTGTGGCAAGGGGACTGGACTAATCTCATTATAGAGGAACCAATATAAGTTTTGTGTATGATTTTCTTATAGCTTTTTCACTTTAAATATTCTGCTGCTACACACTCAAGCTTAGAATATGAAATTTGTCAAATTCAGAAGCTTCTATCTGAAAAAGCTTAAGTTATCAGTTACACAATTCAACTCCCATCCTTCTTGTGTAATTTCTCACCTTCAGTTGGAATCAGATCTCGGTGTGTGCTTAACAGTGTACTGGCACTAGTATACCACATGATTATAGTGCTCATGAGAAGAGTCACTATTCTGCAAAACAACCTGCATTCAGTGGTGATTCTACTCACTTTGAATGGTGGAAGAGCAAAATGTACACTTACACCATTCTTCTTAATGGCGAGCTTTGGGACATTCTTGAGGATGACATTGAGATTGAAGTGAATGGTGTGGGAATGGTTACTAATAGAAAGGTTCTCACACCAGTTCAAAAAAAATGTGTATAGAAAACTCCACAGAGTATGAGGTATTATTGTTGATGCTCTACCTTACTCTGAGTAGATAAAAATCATGGATAAATCAACTGCAAAGAATATCTTTAATTCATTATGTGCTACATATGAAGACAACTAACAAGTTAAAGAGGCTAATTCTAGTCTTCTGGTTCACTAGTATGAACTCTTCAAAATGAAGGAGGATGAAGACATTGAAAATATGTTCTTTAGATTTTAAGTTCTTGTATTTGGCCTTCAAGTTTTGAACAAGAGTTATACTTCAGTAGATAATGTCAAGAAGATTTTAAGAAGTCTTCATGTAAGATTCAGACCTAAAGTTACAACTATTCAGGAGGTCAAAGACTTGAATACCTTAAGTCTTGAAAGTGTGATAAGCAACCTTCAGAGCCATGAAATGGGACTGAATGGAGATGATCTGTGAAGATGCACAAATCATTAGCTTT